TAATGATTCTATAATTCTATGATTCTATGCAGTTTGTCAATTGTATTATATATCGGGAACTGCAGCAAGGAAAGAGACTTTCTGCAAAATAGAACAGCCCCAGCCAGCTCTATCTGGCTGAAAGTACATCCCTAAAAAATAGTAGTGATCACATAAAACAGCTCTGAAACTGCTGAGGATGTCTGCAATCATGGAAACGCTTCTTAGCAACAACCTCAGAAAATGAGAAAGTACTGCTGAAAAGAAGCATTGAGACATTGCTCTAGTATCAATGTGCCTCAACAGAGTGCCATGAAGGGGATTTAGGAACGAATTTATACATGAAACTGGAATTCCACTTTAAAAGCACCAGACTGACAGTAAGCACTGTGCGTAATAAAATAGATTGAGAGCCACCTCCTAGCCATCCCCCTGTCCGGAGACCTTTAGATAGCAAAATAAAGAAAGATAACAGACTGCCACTAAAAGATATAGCAAAAGAGCTACTTAGGTTCAAGCATATCCTTTCATACGGTGCACAGCAGTGTTCTCCTAGAAGTGCAGGCAGACACCAACCAGTTCACCCTGCCTGTCAAACCAGTTTGTTAGCACTGGTCTGCCAGTTGCACCAACTCTGACTGCATGACTTCTTGTTTGGAGCTGGCTTGTACCTGGCTTGCTTGGAGCACAACTGGAGTGAGCTCAGGTCCACCTGAAAAGTACCATGTAGATAGACCCTCAGGTTGGTCTATAAGTCAAATAAGGGCCAATGAGACCATGAGAGCAATAGGAAGCTGCAGGAGCACATCTGGAAAGGCACTGCTTGGACTAAGCTGCAATATTAAAAGGTTCAAAGTGAAAAAAAACATAACAAAACGAAAAAAGAAGCCGAAACCCCAAATCCAACAAGCAGAAGCTCGGTAGAATAAGTCTGTGGAGCTGTTTTATGGGCACCCTTCAGAAACAGTACAAAAGCACTGAGAAGTGACTGGGAAGTGACTCTGTGGTGCTAAAGGAGCTTACCAAAAACACTGATAGCTTTTCCTTTATGTGCACTGGGTTTCACCTCTCTGCTTTGCCAACTGCTGTATATAAAATTACCTACAGTGCATTTGGAAATGACATTTTTGTCTGAAAAAATATGGCTTGCTTTATAGCTTGGAAGTAATTTTGTGTTTGTCTGCAGTAATGCATGTGCTATTCTTAAAGCTTTAATTCCTTTTTTCGCTGTTAGTGGGACTGTATTTCTTACAAATCACCTATGGCATCACATCGAGCTTTTGTTGAGGCAGCTATACTGGAAGAACAGATATATAGCAGATATATATGAGTTTTTCCCAATTAACTACTTTTTCTGGAAGACAAACAATACCAATATTAATAATACAAAGGCAGATGTTATGTGACTACTTGAGGGGATTATATGGAGGCACTTAATGTGGTAGTAAAGGAATCAGTGCTGAATAGACATCAGCAGAGGAGGAAAAAAAAGCGATGTGTAAATTTACAAGCTGTAAATTTGAGCTAATCATGTATCCAAAGGATCATTCAATAGCATTAAAACTGAAGGTGTTTTTAAAGCCAAACGTTCAAGCAATTAAGTGCCTAAATCATGACTGAATTTTTATAATAACAAGGATCAAGTATAGCGTATGGAAATTTAAAAGGAGAGGAAACACAGTTAACATATGCAACATATCCTGAAAGAAAAATGCAAATGGCACAATGCCTCAAGTCCTATACATAGCTGGTATCAAAGAAGAAAGCCATAAATAATACAGACTTCACATACTTAATGAAACTGCATCTTGGGCATACTAGTATCCCTGTATGAAGAAGCACACCAACCTTCTGCCAGTATTCCCTTGCAAAATAAAATCCCTCTAGCATGTTCAGCATATAAATTCCTTATATTAATAATGGAAAATTCCAGCCAAATATGACTGGAACAAAGACAGTATAGGAAAAAATGCAGATAAAACAGAATGCTTTAATATTTTCGAGCAGTAATATTCATTGTCACTGCTGTCCGTTGTAGTGACAATTTTGTAGAGACAAGTAATCCCTGCCTGGCGCCCATCAGGATGGTGCGCTCCCTCCCTGCTGCCATTGACTGCAGACAGATTCCCCTAAAAGGGAGATTAGGTCTCACCAGTAGGTATGTTAGGATGCTTTTCATTTTCTGCAAGTAAATTCTGATAAAATGGCTGTAAAGATTCATGATGATTTTGTTAGTGTTTATACATGTTTTCACATTGAAACCAGATTTTTTTAAAAAATGAAGAAACTTACAAAAGACATCTCCTCTAAGGCTTCGCTCATGGTCAATTTGATTCTGAAAAACTTCCTTCTCCTCTTCATCTGACTCTTCTTCTGCAGTAGCTTCAGTTTCTTTCTTTTCCTCATTGTAGCTCCCATCAAGATCAATACCACCTTCATACGCCGATAACTGCAAGTGGGTCCTAGAAGATGGTGTCACGGCTGCTTCTGGGATTGCATTCTCGATTGTTTCATGCTTCTTCACACTGTTTTTATGTGCAAGAAGTTTCTTAATTGTGTCCTTAGCTGTTCCAGGGATTCTTGCAATTTCCTTCACTGACTTTTCAGGGATAACTAGAACCAGGAAGAAAATATGAAATATTCGTCTAAGGAATCATTCAGCAATGATGACAAATGGCACCACGGTGTCCTTTACAATGTCCAGAGACCCATACAGCCAAATTTTCTACTATGAGCTAGAAGTTCAGCTCTGCACAGAACTGAATATGCATGGATGTGTTTAGCTCTGTTGTATGCCAAAGCGACCCTCTGTCATAACCTCATTTGGACTCCTGTGTAACACAGGCCGTACAGCCCCTTACATTAATTATTTTACACTGGAGCTTGGGTAAAAAAAAAATTATCCTTCTTCAATTTATGGACTACTACAACCTGTCCATGGAGGTGTGATTCCCTGCATAAGAAACGTCAGCCTACTAGCAATGAGCATTTTTCTTAGCTATCTTCTGTGAACTTCTCTCACCTAACTTTCCTTGCACGACAGGCTGAAAGCCTCCGGAATGGAGCGTATTTTGAGAGGAGCTACATCAAGCTGCTCCATCACATTTCATTTAGCTCTAAGGGATATTTAGTTCTAAGGAGTAAACACCAAAAATTCAGAGAGTCATCCAAGAATGCCAAATTATTATCTTCTTGCAATTCCAAGGTGACCTAGAACATAAATGTAAAATTTCCTGAGATTTTTACTATTTTATGATTCCTCTTGGCTACAAAATACTAAAAGGATAACCAGCCTTGTAGTATCTTGCAACTTTGGATTCTGATCAGAAAGACAAAGGCCGCCAGAAGTGAAAAACTTAAGAGCGAGGTAAAAGTCAATTGAGATTGTTCAAATCTGTAAAACAAAAGAAAAAAATCTGAATTTGGGGTTTTCCCTATTATGAAGTATAATGAAGTCAAATATCCTCTATATACAGGCAAAACCGTCAAAACATTAATTGATAAGAGGGCATTTTTACATTTACGTGGCAGCCCTGATTTTCTAATCATGCTTTCCTTGTCAACGTATTGAGTTTCAAGAAACAAGTCTTTTATTTTTTTTAAATTCAATTTTTCTCTCTCTACAATCACCAAACTATGTTTGGATGCTTGAAGGAGGGGCGTGTTTTATAAGAACCCATATGAAGATGCATTTCTAGGGATGTGGGGAGGCAGGATTGATTTTCCAGCAGTGGTGGGACCTAGTAGCAGCACAAAAGGCTCCTTTGAGACAGAATGTTGGCCAGCTGTTCTCCATGTTCTCTTCAGAGAGGAAAATTATCAATTTACATGAAATGAGGAGAGATTTAATTATATATTATGAAAAACTTGCTTACTATCCTTGCTACAGGATAGTAATACACAGGAGTAAGGCACTTAGGTTATTTGACTTGTATCACTAGAAGTTTTAAAAAATTGTTAGGCTACCATCTGTCATTAATATGCTGGGTATGATCTGCCTCAGAGCAAGAGAACAGTCTTAGCTGATCTTTTTTAGTCCCTTCCAGACGTACTCTTCTGTCATCTGACAAAGGCTGATGGCTCTTTGTGCTGATGGCCAAATCATAACTGAGGATTAAAGCCAGGACTACTTTGGATCAGTTTGTTCAAGGTATGTGTACAGTACAAATCAAATTCTAAGGAGAAATTATGGCAATACTGTGGGTGTTGTTTTTTATCAGCAACATCAGCCGAGGAACACCACTGTGCCACAACTAGATCTGGAAGGGTTTGTGTGACAAATATGCAAGTTTTAGACAAGACATAAATCTGAGGAGTTCTAGTTTTTGAGATGATCCCATCCCACCATAAGGATTCCACTAGAGTTAACCAAGTCCCTACCTGTCATAGTACCAGAGCTACTGAGGAAGAGAGCGTCCTTGGGGTTTAAAGCCCATGGCAATGGACTTTGAGGCTTGAGACAATAACGCTTTTGAATCAGCTCAGGATTTCATGACTGCTGTGACACGACCAGCCAGTATGCAATTATATACTCAGCCCTCTAGTGCTGGCCACTGCCTGGATCTGTGTGGGTGAGGAAGAAGGACTGGTAAGTAGGATAGCACAACCATGTCATGAAAGCCTTCTGCAGTTTGAGGCCTTTATGTGAAGTACCTAGGAAAGAAGGAGAGCTGAGCAGTTCCAGTGTGCTGTACAAAAGCTCTTCCATAGATGGAGACTATTTCCACCAATGGGTCAGAATAGCCTTATATACTGCTTCCCATGTTTGATTCTCAATCAGTATTGATGCTGCAGTGCCTACAGTCTTTTTAGGTTGCAAATGGTGGGGGAAGTCAGCTATTTTTATTTCCCTCTGCTTTTGCCATCTAGTGATTGCATTACTAGGGCAAGAATATGTTCCTATTTTGCTCTTTGCACTTTGTAATAATAGAAACTTTATAGTAGTATTTTGGGACAGATGGACTGGACTTGTAACCTTGGGTAGTACTTTTTTTCTGTGTGTTTCTTTTCATACAAACATAGCAGAAGAAAAAACACCAGTTAATAAAATAGAACTGTAGTCTACTAGGAAAAGGGGAAAGTTCCCTGAATTTATATTTACTCCTGGAAAATACAATCCTATCACTGTGAATTTGTCACATTTTATTTATGGGAAATGCAACTACATGCTATTTAGTATCTCTCAGTGTGCTCACTGAAGCATTTAGGTTTTTTGAGGCTGCAGTTGGAGGTATAAAGTAAATGAATGCTGATAAAAAAATAAACCAAAATTGAGGATTTTGTTTTTCTTTTCATTTGGATAAAACTTGTAGCCTTGCTTGTCAGATACTTGCAACTAAACTATTTACTAATACTCCACCAAGTGAGCCTTTCCTCTGGAGGATGATGTCATGAAGGATGCAAGGTTCTTAGGGTCTAAACTCAGAATACAGCAACAAAAATTAACAGGAAAGCTTCATTCCAAACAAATTTCTCTTGACAATCAGTAACAAGAAACTTCAGGCTGTTAATAAAGAGGCTACGGAAATTTTCAAGACAGGGCTGACTGCTCAGCAAACCTGAACATCTGCTTTTAGTTTCTGCTTTGAAGTCTTCCCAGTGAAATGAAAAATTCTTACAGCTCAACATAATAACCTCTGTGGTGTCAGAATACCAGTCTCCTTGTATGTGCAAAACTAAGCAGTGCAGAAAATCAACGGACAGGAGTGACAAAAATAGGAGGATGAAAGTGTATAAATCCCCCCATGCTTGCAGATTCCAGTTTGCTGCTGCAATATGAAAATCTGCATGTTCATGGGGACAAAGCGGTACTAGACACCAAGCATATTTTAGGATATATCACTAGTATCCTTCTAATCTGCATTCAGCTTTAGAGTAGCTGGAGGTGTGGATTAAAGGCTTTTTATGTCTACCACAAACTGCAGGAGAGATAATGCAGTGTAAGGACAGACCACCTTAAACTCGGTCTCTTCTGTTGAATCTGCTGCCTGTGGATTTGCCCGAATGAACAGCTCACCTTCTCTGACAAGCTGGGGTGCTACAGCTGAGGCAGTGATTTTTCAGGACCCTTCACCCCAAGACATGCATATAAACCCACAGGTGTTGTTCACAAACGTTTGTGCATTTACCCATCCATGTGACTGCATAGAGAATTTTGGAAAGTGAAAAGAAATGTAGTGCATTTCATGCCAGCTCTCCTTTATGTACCTTCAATCAGGGTGCATGTAGATGAATGCCTCCTGCTCTTATACAGTATGTGTTTATTGCCCTAGTATGAAAATATCTCCGTTTTCAAAGGTATTTTATTTCTTTGAATTACAGAGAATTAAAGCAAGAGGTGGAAAAACCAAGGCAAATGGTGGCTGAGGGCTAAAAGTACAAGATTGTAAGACCACAGAAACAGCTTGGTGTAGGATGTCTAATGGCCAAGTTGTGAAAGTTGAGTTGGAAAAAAAATAGAGCAGATGCCAAACCTCTGTCTCTGTGCTGCATTGTGTAAAGGGAAATACTCCAGGGCTGATAGCAGGAGAGGGACAGAGAGCGATCTGTGTTCCTCCCACAGCCCCATGACCGCAGACGGCACTGGCTGGGGCTCTGAGCATCAGGGGGCTGCAGGAGGAGACAGCTTGCCCTGCACTCCAGTAGGCACTGTGCTGCTTCCACCTTCACACCTAGCAATATATTTAAAAACCCGGCGAGAGACAAGCCTAGGAGATTGGCTTACAAATCCTTTTGTAGCTCCTTTAGTAGGTTCCGCATATAAAAGTTGGAGAGGGGATGAGGGATACAGACAACCATTTACCACGTTTAGGGGGAGTCTGTAGATACGAATAAAGATTAGGTCAGCAGGATGTAGTTTCAGAAATCATTCTAAGAGTTCTCAACGTCTTTTAGATAGTCTTAAGAGAGTCTGAAAGCTTTCATAGGTTAAAACAGACTATTATTCTCTTTCAAGCACCATGGAATAGCATCTACCAGTATATATTCCTAGTCTGTTTTATTTCTAAAATTCTTACTGTCTTATTTAGAGCAGGATGCTTTGAGAAATCAGGGCAAGTTCATCATGTTGGACTGTGCTTAATACCTGACTACACCAGCCAGCAATGCTTCCAGTAGGAAATGTGGGATGACAAAAGCCAAAGTGTTATTCATTAAAGGATGACAGCAGTATTTGGCTCCATACTGAACTGAATTGTAAGAATCTCACCAGTGATATGACTAGAATCACTTTTTAAGCTTTGAAATTTTATTATGTCAAACCCAACTGTTCTCAGGACTGGCAAGTTGATAAGAAAGCAAAATAATTTATGGGGTTTCAGGGTTACCCTATGAGCAAAAAAGGAACATGAGTAATACAAGAGGCACAGAGAAAGTCAGCATGACTTTGTATTGCCATTTAGATATCCAGCAAAGCATAATGAAGAATAGTAACCTCTGCCTCCAGCCAGGCAGTAACAAGACTGTCATTGTTGAGCTCCTTAGAGTGATGCCTGAAGGTTGTAGGCCTTAAGTTAGTACCGCTTTTTCCTGTTATTTTGTAGTTTCCTACCAAAAAAGTGAATCAAAAATAGGTTCATTTTCCCCCTGGGAACCTTAATTGCTTATGGAACCTTGTGAGACTCTATTCTTAAATAAAAGCTGAAATACACATAGAAGCATGTGGCGAGGGAAATGTGGATTTTCAACGCACAATAGGAAATCAGGAAACACATGAACCTGAGAACAGCAACAGATTGCAGCAAGATAGAGGCCAGATGTGGAAATGGGTAGGACCGTTTCAGGGAGCATTTGAAAGGTTACATCCCTATGGATTCTCAGATGAAATGGGTGCTAAGGACAGTTCAGAAACAGCCTCCAATGTTTCATGTGTATAGGAGTGTTAAATGGCAAAAGGGTGCCTGAACAACCACAGGTCGTATCTGTACAAGCAGTACTGTTTGCAGCCTGATGTTTCAGCACAGAGAATTTTACATTACCCCAGTTATTAGGTTAATTGATAGCATAAGGAGATGTAGTTTCATTACATAGAAGTTTCAATACAAACAATATGCTTAGTTACTCCGCTTTCATACTTTGAAAATTAAGCTATATATTAAAATGTTTTGCATTTGTTATAAAAAGTTGATACTGCTGCCATGGTAGCCAGTTTGTAATATACTACAGAAAATTGCTATAAACAATTAATGCTTCCCTGTGAAAAAGGGATTCCCATCCTGTGGGAATAATTATGTGGAGTGCTGAGGCCATATTCAAGCAGCCTTTTGCAGCACAACCCCAGGCCCATCTGCTGGGAGTGGGATGGGCTGCAGGAGCTGCAGCCACTGCCATCAAAAGAAATGTGAAGCCACAACCTCCAGTCCCCAAATTCCCAGGGTGGTGTTCTCATCCTATTACACCCAAGAGCAAAACTTCCTTCGGCTTCAGTAGAGCCAAAGTTTTTCCATAATTGTGGTATAACATGGAGAACACTTAGCATTTCAGTATAGGCTGGTACATCGAATTGGTGTTTGTGTCATGGTTTGAAAAGACATTCTCTCCAATAGAAAAATGCATGTCCTGTCCCCACCAGATACACTGATCAGACTTTTTTGAGGATTGTGGTAAAAATCAACAATTGAAACATTCACGGTTAAAAGAACCTGCTCCTCTTCCCTTCAAAAAAAGGTGTATGTGTGGGAATTCCCACTAGAGAAAGCAGTCTCTTTTTAGCACCACTGCTTTTCATGTTTTACCTACCACTGACCGTATTTTTTCCCCCTCTATTGTTGTATACATCTTCCTAGCTTGACTCTTGCCTTTTGACCTTCTGCCTATGGCTCTGATTTCTCTCATTACTGTGTGTTACTCCTCTATCGCCTCTTGTATTAAATATCTTTTCCACTTAGTCTGTTCTACTAAGTTTAGGAATGCACAGCTCCTTCCTCTTCTAAACAACTAATGGGCTTCAGTAACTGGAAATATGACGTGAGGAAATATGCAGAGAGAGAGCAAAAAATTTCACAGAAACACCAGTGGGAAGACAGAAATCATTTGTATTCAGCACTGATTATTTTTACTGTGCTAGACATTAAAAAATGTGTCATAGCCTCTCCACAAGCTAAAATATTTCCTTTGTTCATATTAAAGCAAGCATTCCTGTTGAATCGTTTCTGCTTGAGGAAAGAATATTTCATATGTATACTTGGTCAAAAGGAGATTTTCCTTTGAAATTTTCAGCTTCTTATTAAAAACAAGAAAACAAAACAAAACGAAACAAATAAAACTCAGACCTTTTTGCTCAGAGATGTATTCGTTTAACATTTCATCTGTGGCACATTTTGTTTTAACAGAACCATATCAAGACGTGTCATGTCCGTTTGCTTTGATATTGTCAGGTCTCGAACCCCATAGCACCCTGCCGTTGCAGTAAGCTGCAGGGACATATCACAAGGGATGCTGTCTAGTAAGGAAACCGGCTCATAACACTGAATTTGAGCATGAAGAACCTTCTGAACAGCTCTGCTGTGGCAATCTGTGTCCAAACCAAAGCTTTCAGTACCGGTCAGGTTTTTGTGTGTTTAGTTTTTCTTGTTAAAAGTCAAAATTTTTTACTGGAAGTAGAAACTTAATGGAAGTTTAACTTATCAATGTGATAATGGAGGTTTCGATTACTATTATAATGGGAATAGGAACATGAATAATAGAGAGACTCACAGAACATCTGTGACCATGAAGTATAATAATAATACATATTTGACCAAGGATTACTTGAAAAAGACTCAGGAAAAAAAAGGTTTATATATTATATAGGCTTCATCTGCTATAGACAAGAACTGTAAATAAAAAAATTTTCACGACATCTTTTATTCCAAAAATTTGAGGAACACTCAGATGGCCTCCTGAGGAACACATCTCTAATGATGTTGCAGGAGAAACCTTTGCCAGGTTTAATAAAGGTATTAAATAAAAAGGTTCATTTAAATGTAAACACAAGAAAAGCCTTTCTTTCTTCTTGGAGGACCATATTCAGTTAGAACTGGGCAACGACATCTTTATAGGAGGTCTTCAATATTCAATAGACAAATAAAGGCGAAATTATAAGTGAAAATAGTTTAGCACAGAAGTCACGGCTTTCTCCTCTTCTGTCACTTCTTGCTAAGTTAGCTTGAAACTGTTCTGGAAGGGACTGCACAGCCCTCCAAGGGGCTAGCCGTGGGAGTTCAAGGAAAATACACAGCAGTCTTTTTAAACATATTTTCTCTGTTTCTTCAGAACAAATTCTCTTCCCTGTTCTACTTGTGATTCGTAATGATACTATCAGACTTGGAGACTCATAGGCAAAAGAAATTTGAACAAATAATACTTGTATTAACTATGCAATGACTCATACAATCAATATATTATTTTGTGGAGAGGTCTTGCTGGGTTGGTATTGCCGCACTGTTCAGCATGACATTTCCTAGCAAATGCCTTATAACCATCAATTATTGGAGAAAAACAATATAGCACTATTCCTGACATCCAATGGTACTCACCAGCACAATCGAATCCGCTTCCTCGGTAGCCTTGTTTACATTTGCACTTGAAGGATCCTTCGACATTGAAGCACTCTGCATGGAGGTTACACCTGTGTGTATTTGTCACACATTCATTTACATCTAGGGAACGATATAAATGCTTCAGTGAAAACTGCGTTGAAACCCAAGCTTCATGACAGCCTGTTTGTGCCGGCCATCTGTTTCCAGGTATTGTAAGCACTAGTGTTAGACCAAGACGGTTCAGAGGCCATCGGAGGCAGAAGAATTCACACTAGGAGAGAATGCTTAATGTCAGCTCCAACTGCATGACTACTGGCACATGCATCCATGAATGATGTCCTAGTAAAGACAAAGTGAACGTAGTGATTTTCTGACTGAGAACAGGATTCAAACGGTAGGTTGTACACACTCTTCTATTAGCAAAATGTAAAAGACACCAAGAGAACGTGTGACATCAATTAAAAACCCATTCACCAAATCTTTCTCATTCTTTCATTTACTCTAGAAGAAAGGCAATGGAAAGTAACCCTGAGCATGCCAAGATGTTGAGATCTTCTATCTACCTCTAACATTCCAGCCTACATATGATGCTGTATGACAAAAGTATAGCCAGGAAAAATTCAGTAGAAAATACTATGTTCAACAGACAGCAAAATGTACAGGCATCAAAAGTAACTGATTTTGTTCTCCTTTTCCCTTGTTTTGCTACATCACAAAGATGTTTCTGATTTCTTCCACACGAGGGAGCCAAGTTGGTACAGAATTTTTTGCACCACTTGCACTTTATCCAGATTGCTTCATTTTTAGCAGCTGACAGGTCCTCTCACAATATAAGTCAGCTAGGAGACAAGCAGCGGGAAGACTAAAAAATATGGTGTGCCTAAGAGTGAGATTCAAGTTCGCAGATAAAATCCTGACTGCTGAGATCTCTCCAGTTTTCCCCCCCTGCACACATATTATATGAAATAGTATTTTTTCCACTTTAAGACTCTCACAGTTTGCATACAACAGGAAATTCAAACCTGAGTCTCCAAAACCTGCCTTATGGTCTCCCTCCCACCCCTAACTCCCAATATCAAGCCAATATAAACAAACCCCATGACTTCTCTGTTGTATGCATTTCTTGTAGTAGTTCCAACCCTTCGAGCCCCTCGTGCAGTCAACTGCTTGAACAATACTGCTGCAGTGCCTGCTGCAGTAACTTACACTTTGCTGTTCTTCCACCATTCAGCTAATGGATTGAAACAGGAGTAAGGATGTTTTGACATTTGTTTTAACAGCTGGGCATCTCAAGATAACTTTTTGCCTGTATTTATTTTTGTTTGGGAGGAACTTAGACATGCAAGAGAGACCTGAAAAGTAATTAAACCCTACTATTTTCATACTTTAAAAAAAAAAGTTCTGTACTGTCCATGCAAACAACTGTTTTTACAGTCATGAAGGCATTTGATTCGCATTCCTCAATGATGACACAAAAAAAAGAAAAAAAAGATTGTAGGACTGCTTATTCATCACAGGTTGAAAGTCAGGAGGACAAAAAATGACTCTTTAACTAAACCTGTACCAGAAGCAGCACTTCTTTGTAGGCAACTGTTGCTAACTTACTACAAGCCCTTGCACATCTTGACTTGGTACAATGAGGCAATTTAATTTGCAAGTGCCAATGATTAGGTTGAAGAGAAAACCCAGAGAAAAATTCAAAGTGCCATCAAGAATACTCTTCATGTGACATCTTTTATCCATTTCTGAGGCAGTATCCCCAGATCAGGCCAACATGTTTCAGGCAATGACAGGAAAGATGCGTGGTGTGGGAATGAAAAAGAATGAGGTAGGAAAATTCATGGGCTAAATCTTACCTACACAGTCGTATTGGCCGCTGACGTATTTCAGTTCATAACCAAGCTGGCACTTGCAGTAGTAGCTTCCAAATGTGTTGACACATCTGCGGTTGTAAGAGCAGACAGCTTTGCCAGTGGAGCATTCATCAATGTCTAGAGCAGGAGAAGGGATGCTGGTCAGATCCATGAGAAGGTAAAATGGGAATGCAAGAACTAGTTGGGATTTGCATGGGAATGGTTTGGTCTTGGCTATCACAAGTTGTTTAATAAATAAGTCCTATAATTTCACACTTGGGGATGGCTTTTGGATGTGCTCATATGAATGGAGCAGCAAAATGTGAACTAACTTTATGGAAGATTTTGAATCCTGGCATGGTAAAAGCTAGGGTAACTGGCAGTGGGGATTGTCCCCATGAAGGACAATGATTGCCCTAAGGTCATGGAGAGGGTCAGGAGGAACTCCACAAATTCCATTATTTCCCTGAGAAAGGAAATGTCAAATAATAGTTTAAGAGAAAGCCCCAGAAACAGGAAACAGAGAGCAGCAGCAGCTCTTCTACTGAGTGTCTGCACCTCCCCTTGCTGGGCCAAGTCAAGACGCAGCAGAGAAAGAGTTTCCAGACTGCAAGCAGTCTGTCCAGCAAGGTAGATGACAGGGACAGACATTTTGGAGAGAGAAGGAGGAAGCTTGGTATGGGAGGAGTCTAAGAACATTATTCAACAACCATTGTAATTAAATATTATTAATTTGATTTGATTTGTTGTAATGTCAAATTTAAAATAGTGCCGATTATGATATTTGGCATTTGTCCTTCCCGGTCACATTTTAGCAGTGACTTTGCATGTAATTCATTGTGCCATGCTGCTGCCTTTTACAGCTTAGAACTGCTGTGAAGTGCTCCTGGACATCAGTGTTGGTCTTTTTATAATTTCTACCATTCTTTTACAGTGCTTAGGTGATCAAAGGGAAATGGACAACAACAGAAAAATATTCAAAAACAAACCTGTAGTTAAAAATCCCTCTTTCTGCCCATGCTACACATTTCTGATAAGGGCCTCTGTTCCCTAGCCTCCAGGGCATTATAATATATTAAACATCTATTATGCTATACAGCAGGAAGATGCTATCTCATTTTACAGATGGGGAAGTGATGACATACCACAAGTCATGAAGAAAGAAGGGATCTGATATTTCCAACCACTGGACATACCTTTTTTGTCTATTTTACCTTCTATCATATGTATCAGCATTCTTCCAAATCCATTTGAGCAGGCAAGGTACATAAAAATAAACTCAATACAAAAGAATAAAAATAGTTGCCTGAATAATTCAGTAAGAGATTTAAGAGAACTACTCATCTTGTCTACTGGATTTAAATACGTATGTCTACAATGTTCACCTTCACATAGCTTTTAAATAATTCAAACAAATGTTAACTGTGACTGGTGGCAGTCTGAGAGCCTTGCTGATTACTCAAAGCAGGACAGTTCCAATTACAGACTCATTTCATTTGAAAGAAAGAAATACCATTAGCAAGTTGGAGTCTTTATAGTTTGGAAGTTGAGCCAAGTACCCATATGCGTTTATTTGATAGCTCCTAAAAGTGATAAAGTAGTCCCAGGCCATACAACCTTCATATGTGACTTGATTTTACAGTTGAGTGTTAAAGAGAACAATTCATATAGTAACTGTCCTTCTACACAGCAGTGTGTCTTGGTCACTGCATTTATTTAATCTTTTGTTTGAAATGTTAAGTATAATATTGTTTTGGCCATTGGAGTTAAAATTGATTTTTTTATGCTTGAATGTTAAACCTCTCAACATTTAAAACATTCTTTAAGCTGTAGAAATCATTCAACCAGTACGTATTGGTAAGCAGCATCCGAAGTGGATTAGCTACTGCTATTCTTCTTTGCCTGTAAGGTATCATGTCCAAGGTGCCCTTTCTGATCTGAAGGACTTGCACCATTGTGACAGCAAGAGTGTAAAATCTGTGAAATCATCAGTATTATTAGGTATGTTGCTAAAGACATCTTAGTAAATAGCACTTGTTGCAAAAAGTTTATTTGCAGAATCACAGGATGGTTGAGATTGGCAGGGACCTCCAGAGGTCATCTGCTCTGACCTCCTGCTCAAGCGAGGACACCTAGAGATGGTGGCCCTGCTCCTGCTACTCCCTGACATGTACTTCACTACCCCTTCTTCTCTAGTTCTTGGAGTGGTCCCTGCTTTGGAGGGTTTGTTTCACATCTATTGGGTTTTGAAAGGAGGTCATTTAGCTTCAGTATTAAAATAAGTATGATTTGAGCATTGGATTACAATGCTGTAGCACTGCTTTCTCAGAAGACAACATAAAACAGTATCACAGAACAGTGTGTTATAAGCAATGCTTTCTTCATCACAGGAAACTCCCAGGTAAAGTCATGTTGAGGTTTCTGGAGAAAAATCCAGAAATTTGTATTGTGGGTCATCACAATAAGCTCATCACAATAAAAGCCCATCCAAACACAATGCCCAAATCCTATAATGCATTATGTCAGTAGGACAGCTTCCTGCAGGCAAAGCATTGTATTTAATGGCCTCATAGCAATCAGGAGAAACTGAATCTGTTAACGACTCCAAATCATGTCAAAACATTCAATTATTTATTGGGGATGAGACTTTTCCAAAGAATTAAATGGTCAATATTAAAAGTACAGTTACAAAAGAAAGGATGAAAACTTTCAGTCACACTGCGAGTAACAAGAAGCATTATTCAAGCCAGTTAGGAGGGCTAACTACTTCTTAACCTTTCCCCAGAATCTCAAATTTTTGGGGATCCTACAGAAAAGAAGCTGTGAGTGAACTCTCTACCCATACCAATGCATGTCCTTCTGTTTGGTCCCAATTGAAGGCCACTTGATGGACAAAGACACTGCACCTCCCCTTTGACTTCTTCACATCCATATTGGCAATTCACCATGGCGCATGTCCTAGAACCTGAAAAGAATATTTAAAATAACAAAGAGAGCAAAATTCTAGGCGGGGATCCCACACTTAAAATTAAATTAGATCTGGATGAACGCAGAAAATTAAACCGAACAACAAAATTCCATTCATCATAAATCAAGTTGTTTATACATTAACAATTCAGGAGTCCATGAGATAGAGCTTACACTACCCTTCACTTTGTTCTTTCCTTCTCTGCCCTTATTCCTTCTTTTTTCTCCGATCCCAGTTCTGGGACTTCTTACTACTATCTTTTAGATTCAGAACTGCTCTAAGTAGAAAAAAAGTGATTTTTACTTTTTTGATTGAAAGTTTTATCTTACAGAAAACTGCTATTCAGTAGTGAAATGTTTTTCTTGCTTACCATTAAATATGCTTCTAGTATAGAATTAGATTTTAAAAACTATTTAGCCTGATGGACTTAGAAACTGCCCTTTATTTTGACCCTGTATGGAACAGATATATGAATCGAACAAGGCACTAGCCAGAACACAAGTCTTGGTCGCCATAGGTTGGTTAGGAGTCCCAATTATTGGAGATGATTTTGATTAGCCTCTAAACAGAAATGTAGGGGTCTAGAACCTGTCTGAGAAACCTATGCGAGACTAGAGAAGTAGGAGAAATGCATTAAGTATGTAGGGAGATATTTCGAAAATCCTGAAAATACCCAGGAAGCATTAGTGTTATGATGCCAGGGAGAGAAGTAGCATTTGGAAATGTTTACTGGAACAGATGGAGGTGTGTGCAAAGAAAGTATTTCCAGCTACCTCACTCTGGTTGTGTTCAGAGAGACAGAACTGTATATAGGTCCTTTGTAAGTGGAAAGCCTGGAACAGTTGCCAATTTATTAGAGACAGAAACCAACTGCAAGAACTTGAAACTGGCTCACTGCTTAGGTAGAAAGAGATACAAATTTTATATTAAAGTGCAACATGTTTCTTGTCAGATGTACCAGCACTTTCAGAATGGTGGGTAATGACTGTATAAAAAAGACAACGATGTGTGCAGGTGGATATTATCAGCCATATTATTTGTGATTTGAATATAAAATATAATGCATATTAGTTCTGTGTGCTATTAAAATGAATCTGTTTAATCTGTGATAAATTTATTTTTCTTAGGCTGGTTTGTTTAGAATCTGTGGCTAAGCAATGAATATTCAAGGCCAAGAATTTACTGTATTTGCAAAAGCATTTTAGTTTTGTATGAATGAGAACATACAGGAGGTAAGAGTTAAAAAAAGATGGACAGTAAATCATAATACTTTGTCCCACTATCTACTTCCTAAGCGGGAATAAAGAAATTTACTAAAAATTATTCTTCTCTGATCGTCAGTTGTCTGTTTTCTCTTTTGTTTGAAGCTCCTATTCCTGCCTTTGGTTAGAAATAATATTGGTTTAAATGAACGGCTAATCAGATCTAGTATACTAATTCCTGCACAGTTTGGGTGATTTTGTGTTAGGTACTAACCTACTATTTTAAGCAATGGTTCTCTGTGGCCCATAGCCACATTCTTCTGATACCCTTCTTCCAGCTCCACGGTGCCTTGGCATGGTTGCAGATAAGCCTGACTGCTCAGACACCGTGGACTTCGTCTTGCTAAGGAGACTTACATCATGGTGAATTTGATCCAAAAGGAGCAACAATATGCTCAAAATATTTGCCTGAATAAAATTATGGGAATTATACAATTGGTTAAATAACCAGGCATTTTACCCAAGCACAAGCTGAAGCTAGCATCAAGTGAAATGAGAGGCTACTAAACTCAACCAAGAATAATTTCTACTTGAGCAAATAACTTAGTACTTCATTTCAGAATCATAGTTTCTGCTTAAGAAAATAAAGGCTCTTTGGAATTATAAGGTGCCAGATGGGTTGAGTTAATGAAGCACAAGCTGGATGAACATTTTTTGCCTCCTTAACTACAGCTGTGAAGAATGAAGTCTTCCCTTCTGCGGGAAACCTGGTCTTCCCCCTGAAATTTGGTTTCATTTTGTGTCAATGTTTGTTGGGGTTCCACTGAGAAATAATGTTTCTGTGTGCCAAAGTGAAATGCAAGTCTCAGGCCCCACAGCTGCTCAGGCAATTTTTTCACATATACTTCACACTGGCCACCACCGCTGCTCAGAAATTCTGCATTTTGTGCTGGCTTAAGCAAGGGATGGTGCAACTGTGCATTTGCTACAAATTTGACATAAATGTAGAGTTTCTTGAATCAGGAAACAAGTCCTGAACTAAGACTGGCTTAAAACTAATGTAGCAGAAATACTGAGTTACAGTCTGGATCTAGTTTTCTGACTTGGTTCAGAAGTGTGGCTGCAGCAAGCGTTTGTGCTCAGAGGAGTGGGAGTGAGGGATGGACGGGACAAAGCTGCTGCTGGGCACAAAGGATAGTTTCTTTGGACTGTAGTTCTGGCTTCTGCCAGCTTCAGCTGTCCATAAGACAGCGGCCTTACTGAAAACTGCTCGGCGTATGATGTCAGCAGATACCCAAATTATCTTGGATGAAACAGAAGGAATATATATCCATTTCTCAGAGATCTCTGGGCCCGGCAGCTGTTGTCTGCTGGTGATGCACACCATGCTTAGTAATGCAGGGGCACAACCCTGAGCTGTGATGCAGGGAAGGGAAACCCTCCAAAAGCTCTGGTCCCAGGCAGCGTTCATGGCAATTTCTGGCTCCCTGCCATAAGACAGAGCAAGTAGGAGCTCTGCCTTTCCTACCTGCCCCAGAGCTGCAGACCCTGCACTCCTGTGAGTATTTGCCAAGGCAGGGTATTTTTCCAGTTATCCTAAGACTGACAGCAAACTCACCAGATGGACACCCTGCCTGGTGAATGGTTGTCTCCAAGGTTTGGAGATCAAAGCCTTTCAGAGTTTATGGTTTTCTGTCATATCCATGGGAAGATTGTGATGCACCCCATACAGTTAGGTCCACTGGTTTAGGTCTGACCTCTCAAGCAGATTGTTTCACTGCTGAGACCAACTGGCTTCCTTGTCCAGCTGATGCATCTGCTCCAGTTCAGTGGACTCCACAAAAGGCTGTCACCATGTCACCTAGGGTTTTGTGAAATTCAAAGCCAAAATACCTGTATGGAACAACTCAGGTGAAGAAAAAAAGTATTTTCTACAAACAAAACAGTGTCGTTGAAAAATATGAAGCTTCTTCAGGTCTGAAAAATCAGGTTGGCTAAGAAAGCAGAATGCTTTCCATTATATGCTGGCTTAAAGACAAAGAAAATAGGTAGAAATACAGTTCAGATAAGCCTTAGCTCAATGAACAAATGTCTGCAAGAAGCGGGGGGCAGCTGTGGGAAGCATATCAACACACAGATAAAATAAATTAGTCAGGGAGCACAGAAAGGTAAAGCAAGGAATAACAGCATGAAATTCAGCACAGTAAAAAGTAGTCTGTATTGGTGCTTTGCTTGGATATGATTCATTCATCCTTATTCAACAGATGAACTGGCAGGACTATGCACCAAGGTTATACTTGTTGTCCTTCATCTGAAGCAATGCTATCAGAGATTTTTACTTTTAGCAGGACAAATATTCCTCTGAACACCAAAATACAAGTATGACCTACTTTACTTTATCCAGGTACTGCCAAATACAAAGCCTCTTTCAGCTGCTGACAGTACCGGAGAGCTGAGGCAAAGACCCTATCCTGTATAAGCTAAATCCATTCATCACAAGAAGAAAATCAGCTGGGATCAAATGCAATTAGATGATTTTGGTGTGCCTGTCCTGTCAGCTCTATTACTTACTTGCACATGTGCCATCTGGCAGAAGCATGTACCCGTTGAGACAATAGCACTTGTAGCTGCCATGTGTATTCATACATCTGTGTTCACAGGGCCGTGGTTTCAGTCCACATTCATTCAGATCTGCAGAAGTCATTGAAATGAAGTGAGTGCTGGGTTTGTATACATATATTCATCTATATAGGTAGATAATACTGCCTAATGCCTTGAATTCCCCATAGTAAAATCACCTGCATTGAAAATGAGCCAGCCCCTTGCAAGATGAGAGTTTAGCAGACCATCTGGCTGAAAAACTGCTAGCACAACTGACATACACAGACTTCTACACCTGAAAAACTAATGCAAACTCCGGCCACATCTGGCAGCTTGTTAGGAAGAGGTGGAGGGGTGGGGAGAGAATTGCAGTTAGTCCCTTTTCTGGGAATTATTCTTCTGGATTTCTCCAGTTCTAGCTGGAGATTTTAGCCCTCCAGTTGACCTCTGTACTACAAAGGCAAAAACATGAGACTGAGAACAGCAAAACAGCTTGAGATAAAGCGAAACAAAGATTTTTCTTTTTTTCTGAGCTATGCATTGGGACCAAGGTTATCAGTAGCAGCAATGGAATACAATCTATGATAAGAATTATGTGAGTTTAAGAATAAAAGCACAAATCTCAAATATCTCAAAATCCTGAGAATAAAAGTATCCTAAATCCTTCTCAAAATCCAGGATTTAAAAGGCTTTGCAGAAATTAAATTAATTTCAAATTCCCAATAGCCATCCTTCACAGGGAGAAAACTAGAATCCTAAAAAGTTTAATTTGTGTGGTGTAGGCAAAGCAGTGCCGCCCATGGTATTGGTCCTATGACAAGGGGACAATATCTATGCTTGCAACTTCTATGAACCTGTGAACCGACACCTCTACCTCTTGTATTTTGAAACCTGATTAGCAAACAGACAGAACTCAAAACAAAATGCACCAGCATACACAGCCCATTCAATGTGTGTTTAACAGCACATATGACCAATAATATAATTACAATAAAGATATAACTCTCTAAGCAAGCACTGAGCTTTTGCAGCTCCACTTTTAATGGTAGAAGCATCTGTTCTCATGCCTGTGCACCCTGTAGACCACGGAAGAAACTCCAGACCATTCAAAGGATAAACTTTGGGGGGTTATACATGTGCAGAAGTGTTTGTTACAGCTCAGTCCAGGGAAGAAAAAGAGGGTTGCATTCTATTATTTAAACATAGGGTCTGTTTGAAAAAGGACAACCTATCAGTTTGCAAATCACATCAGATTTTTGTGCTACTGTGACTCTGCTAAATAACCAAGACTCTCTTAACAAAGAAACTAGAGAGCAAACGAGGGAACAAAAGTTATTCCACTTAGACCATACATTTTCAAAAGTGCTTAGCTGCACCTATCTTGCACGATGCACAGTAATGCACAGAGAGCATTCACAGCTCTCAAAGAGAACCTATGGAGATAAAGCTAATTTAGCTCAGATTTAGTGGCAGACTAATAGAGTTCCCTTATCTCTGTTATTTTACTTAGCTCATGTTGAGCTTGCTCAGCAGGGCATTCTACTGCAAGGACAGACGAAGGCTACATCTGCCAGTAAATTAAAAGTGGCTCTGAGCATTCCTGGCTGCCGGAACATGACCACCTATACGGCTATACTATTGAAATAGCTCTGAGACATTTCTGGCCTGTGCCAGCCACCACTTTACTAAAAAAATCCCAGGGAGCTAACAGGCAATTTGCACATGTAGGTCTGTGCGGTGCTTCCACCAAGGCTCAGAGTTTTAATCTACTGCAAGTACACAGAACTGATCTGCTTGCCTACGGAGGGCATAGCAAATGCAGCTGGAGTTAGTGCACAGAAAACACCTACGAGCTGGGGCCTTCTTTGTTGCCTTTTGGTAACATTTAAGCTGCCAAATCATTTTTGAGATTAAACTTCTGGGTAAATTATACCTACACATCTATTACACACAACACGCCTGCTGTTTCACTTTCCTCTCTAGTGGTACTGAGGAATTGACTTCTGTGAGCAACATCAAAAGGGCAAAAGATGGAGCTTTTCAAAATACTTCACAGTATAGCTTTATAGTCTATTGTTTGAAAGATATTGTGTAATAAATGGGTTGTTTTGACTCTGAAAAACGTGAGGGTGTTTAATATGCCAATGCAACGTTTTCAAGCAAAGGCTGCAGGTGCTTAGGAAGGTAGCAAGGCTAGACCCATCCGTTCATGTGCCCTTTACGTCATGCTTCCCTCACAGCACCTGCAGTTCACTCATCTGCACTGCAGTAGGATGGCCTCTTTCCGTGCCCAGTGACCTGCTCCTTTCATCTGATCCAACACAGGGGCCTCATATGTTGGAACAGGAAAAAACCCCTGAGTTCTCACCAATGTGTTAGTTGAAATATTTCCATGTCTAATTGCAAATTTATGGAGGGAAAGTGGTGTATTTGAAGTTTCTGAACAAGCAGTTCTAAAGATTCCCAATTCTGGTTCTCAGGAATACCAATCAGCATATGTAAACAGCTGGCATTGGCCCAGGCAGCTTGAGAAATCAAATGTCTAGCATATAATCATATGTCTTTCTGATGAGAAGGTTAGTTAAGAAAGTAACATGGATTGCTAGCTAAGAAAATAACGTGGGTTCTGGATTTGACTTCTGTATCTTCTAATAATTTCCTATATAATCTCTCCATGCCTTAGTCGTCTGACTATAAGCAGCACAGTTTGCCCTTGCCTTCAGCCCACAGGAGATACATGATATAGGTTCAAACTTATGTGTGCTGAAGGAGGCTTAGAACTTGCCTGGGATGCTGGAGATGGAAGAGCCTTAAACTCTAAGCTCTTTGATGTAAACAAGAAAATACCTTGTTTTACTATTTTGGAAGATGACACAAGCCATAGTACAAGATAAAGAGACAGAACATCAACAGTCTGCTTTCTGGAGTAATATCCCCACGTGCACAAACCTTGATTACAGGTTTTGCCTGTAAATCCAGGGAAACATTTGCATTTGTTTGGTCCCATGCACTCGCCATACTTGCAGCCATGTCCACAGATAGCTGATGGAGTCAGGCAGAGAAAGGAGAGAGAAAAAGAAAAAGTTAGAAATACTCTATTTGAGAACTTTTGCCCTGCTTAGTTGCCTAAAAACTTGCCACACAAGTTCAACATCCTCCATCCTCTCCCGCTATAGCTTGGGCATGGTAGCTACTGATCAGCACTTTATTTCTGCTTGAGAAAAGTGACACTGGCACAGATTACATTAGCGTGTGCTTTTCCAGGTTTGTAAAGACCTGGAAAAGAAAGGACTCCTTTTAGCTGTCTCACTCTTGTTTTTTCTGCCATGCTTATGATTCACATTTAGTTTTGTACTCTTGCCTTTTTCCTGTTTTTAAGAAGCCCTATGTGAGAAGCAGCTAGCCAGCAGCTTGACTTGCTACGCTTGGCATCTGGAGTAGGAAAGAGACAACAGCACTCTCCTGCAGCCAAAGGAGACACATTACCCTATAGCAGTTTTCCAGTCTTGGATCTCCACAGCTACAGCTGAGGAAAGTGCCCATCCCATGGTGGAACATCCAGAGCACATCTGTCAAATGATCAGGCAATGATCCTCACCATACAGCCCAATAAGTATAACTGCATCAGCTTTACAATGATTTGAGAGGGCTATGCTTAGCCTGGATGCATTAAAAAGTAAAAATTTTCTAACTCTCAGCACTCTGGATCATTAGTCAGAAATTAAGTGCTGACTTTTATAAGGCTTAAGACTCCTAAAGTCAATGTGATTGCCAACATGAGGGTTATTCAGGAAAAGCAAACCAAGCATGCATTTAAATCAGAATTAGCTCTGGAAAAACAGCAAAAGAGTATACGCCAGGATGTGCATCTCGCTACCTTGTGTAATTAAACTGCTAGACAAACTATAAGAAACAGGAAAGTCATAGTGTTAGTTACTATATAGCAAAATTAATAATTAAAATTTGTACTTCTGAATTCAAGTATCTTCCTTACATTCATTCAGATGTACTGATCCACTAACTCTGCATGTTAAGGCATTTTTCAACACTACCTCTATCCCTGAATGCAACGTGGCATACTGCAAGACCAGCTGAGTATTAGCACTGAAGCAGAGAACATCACTGTGTCTGGATTTACAGTGCAGGATTACATTATAGTTGGCTTAAAGTAATCTGCCAAAGAAGAACCTTAAAAGTTTATGAAAACTGTATTTTAGTACAGAAGCAACCTATTGCTTTAAAACAAGACAACCTAGTCCACTGGCTGATCAAAGTTACATTTGCCAGTTGTCTCTGCAGGTATTCATTTGCATCAAAACTAAGGTGCTATTAAACAATGCAGAAATATTAATAAAGGTATTAATCACTTTTTCCTTTTTTAAACTGACATGCTATATGTACAGAGCAGAGGCATTTTGGCATCTTTCCCTTTTAGATACCAGTATGTTGATTTTCAGCAATGAATAACCCTAATCCTCTATTCAAATTCACCAGATGATACACAATGCCAAACTCTCTGGGACAACCAGTGTGACATCTGAAAAAGATTCCTAAAACATGTATTTTATGATTTTGTTGTGTTTTGCCCAAGTACAGCTAGAGAGAGAGATTCGACATCAGCTTCTCCTTGGGATCTGCAGACCTTTTACAAATTAGAAATGTCTTAAGAGTCATTGACTCTTCGTTAAGCCAACAATCCACAGACCAGAACGCTGGCCAACTACCCAAGCTCAGGTCAGATGCACTTATTGCCTGGGTTTTATTTATATTTTCAGAAAGTTAAAAGCTGCTGGTTCTCAGAGGCTGTGTACTCTGAAGAGAAAGGATACCAACTGATAGGAAACCATTTTAGGGGTTCATACGTAGCATCAGAAAACACTGTAATTTTGGTGCTTACTGGACAGCTGTAACAGTACAGGCACGGACCAGGGCTGTGCAGGAGGTTAGAACAGATGGTCCCTTCTGGACATAGGAATTTTTGAATATGTATTTTATGGTTTGGTGCGATTTACCCAAAGCTCTGCTTTTTTGAAGAGATAGTCTCTCAAACATATTTTATTCACTCCCTCCCAGAGTTAAGAGATTTCACTCCTCAGAAGCTTTCTTTCTGTAACTTCTGGCAGACAGATATGAAATCCCTTTATTAGTACCAAGTACACAGCCGTGGAGGGGAAACAAGGATAAAGTGTTAATGTTACCTTCGCAGTAGCCTTTGTTGTTCTTTTTCCAGCCATAACAGCAATCCAACCTAGAACCATAGTGGCAGACTCCGGGCTGGCTCACAGCCACCAGCTGCCCACGAGCTCTCGAGCTGCGTAAGGAAGGATAAACACTAACTCCAGCAGGCAAAACGCACTTTAATCCATTGCTCCGTATATTCCTTTGTACATTTCCCTTATGTTTTATCCACCGGCAGGCATTTTCATTTCACCGAACCTAGGGTAGCGTTCCTAGACAGGAATGCAAAGTTGCATTTGGTTGGAGAAACAGGGGAGATGGGAACGTTTCACCTGCAATAAATTAACTGTGCAACATAAATCCTTTCTAATGAGAAACACGGCAAAAGCAAAAATTACAGCCAGTTCCCCTGCTACAATGAGTCATTTTTAATATCAGTGAAGTCAATGGGGCTGCTCCAGCTTGCATCATGTGAGGAATCTGGAACAAATATATGATGCCATGCCTCACAGCGCTATTGCTTTGCATGATGAAATACTGATTCTACAGAAAAGTGGCTTTCTGGACATCAGTCAGCCCCATAGAAGCTCGTGACTTGCAGGCTCATAGCCACTGCATATATGCAAACTGATTGCATAAGTGCAGACAGTCCGGTGCAGTCTGGTTGCATGGGACTCCCTGACCATACGTTAATTTAATCTACCAATAAGCCCAGGGGGTTCAAAGTCACTGTGGAGATCAACAGCTGCAAGAGTTGGAAAACTTGCAACGTTAGTTGCCAAAATTATAAATCTGATGGAAATCCACAACTGTGTAAGTCTTCTAGACCTACTCTGTGCTGCAACGGGTGCTGCGATTCCAGTTCTGCCTCTGCTTGCTGTTTCTTAACGTCTCCATTACCACATGCCTGTCCCCTTTACGAAAATCTCTTCTTTATCCAAAATCCTCTGTACCCATTGTTTTTTCCAGGCCATAATTTAAAATGCACTTTCTTCAAAGAGTCCAAAGTGTTGTTTCTGACACAGAAAACATCTTATCTGCAAGAGCTTTGTAGTATGTGATTTGGGATATTGAGGGGGGCAATACAGAGCAACAAACATCCCCATTGTGGGGGAAAAAAACGGAAAAAAGTCAACAGGCCAGGAACTTTTGCATTTTTTAGTCTGATGCACAATAAAGGCATTGCTTTATCACCTTACAGCAGTGCTTTGCACATATCCTCCTGTGCTTATCTGTAAGGATAGATAGATATTGTACTGGAACAGTTACTGTAAACATCACTAAGGCAAACTAGTAAAATAAATATATGCATACACTTGAAAGATACAAGATGTTACTTCAGAGTTTTCTTTAGTAGCAGAATCATTGGAAAAAGAAGGGAGTTTAGAGGAAATGCATAAGCTTATGTATCTGAGATACCTTGAACGAAGAGATGGTTCTCATGTCACCTGGCAGGTAAAAAGACTTCAGTGTTGGAATAAGTTGTTCTGAAGTCACCCAGCAATTGCCATCAACCCAGTGATGCAGTTTACAGGAGTACGTATACCTCATCTTCAGACAGGAGAAAAAGCGTATTGAACAGCTATGACTCCTGTATGTGTGTCTATTAGGAATCAGCACCCTGCCTCTGGATTTATAGACAATAAAATAACCTTTTTCCATTGTGTTCATTCCAATGCTGCTGGCTTACATCACTTGCAAGTATACCTGTTAAAGAACATATGTTCTGCTTCTGTGCTAGAAAGTGCTCTTGAATTCACTTATACAGTAAATGTATACTTTGCTTACATCCCAGAAAATCCCCTTGAATGCATCTGGATAGTGCTAGGAGTCCCCTGGAAGGTTAAAATGCCTAAAGGTTGGAGGAAGTAGGATCTTATGACTTTCCAAAAGGTGCTCATTCTCACAGGAAAACAAACTCATTCAGTAACAGTTTATTTAATAATTCACTTCAAAATCAAATGAAAGTGTCTTTACAAAGTATACAATATCTCCCAAGATTTCAGTATCAACTTGTTTTAAAACTAGGAAATGTTCCATAAAACTGCAAATAAAATCAACATAGCTGAACTTTATAGATACTGCCAAGGTCTTTCACTTGTTCTGACTTCCACAATAAGCATCAAGTTAAAACCTACATTTGGCAGCGGGAAAGGTCAACTAATCACTGAGAGCCCACCCGGAACCCAAAATCTGGGAGGAAAACCAGTTTTGCCAGGTTAGTCCCTCCAACCCCTGAAGAACCACCAGCCATCAGCTCAGCTGTAATGAGTTCAGCATTTTGCGCAAAAGAAAGAAATTTAGAAAGAAGAGATCCTTTCAGGCAGATCCTTTCCAGAAGAATGAACCATGGACCCTCCTGGATGTCGGGGGAGAAGGAATGCAGACTGGAGGCACAGGATGCTTCTGATCCCTCCCTATCCGATATTTGTGTAGGATTTCACAGGGAGTACCTAGAGGCCTGAGTGAGATTGCCATGCTTGGCACTGTCTGCTCAGTGTGCAAAAAATGCCTGGCCTTGAAGAACCTGCAGCCTAAATACGTGACTGGAGAAGAAAGGCAAGAGAAGGCAGACTGTGCGGGTCGGATCGCTGTGCAGGTCAGTGGCAAGAGCGGTCTCTGCATTTCCAGTGAAGAACTTCATTGTCCCAGAGTCAGCAGCTTACAGCACTGGTGCTAAAGGTAACCCGCGGCAGACTGAGCCATCCAGGGTACCCAGGCAGGAGAGAAATAACCCATTTTATGTGGCTGTGACATTGCTGATACCCGTAGGATGGCATTTAGCAAAGAACATTGAAGATGAATAACAAGAACTTCTACAGTAAGCCAAGGCCTCCTTAGCTGACGTGACAGAAAGAGCGAGCTGGCTGTATTAGCAGTCACAAGACCACTGTGAGCCACTAACACCATTATAAAGTAAGTGGGACCCTCTGGTGTTTCAGTTAAAATTCCAGGAAACTTTTACTGCTGGTTGTATTGTGTACAGTTCTTAACATTCATGGTGAAGAAATATGAATTATATATGGTATACATGATGATAAAAGCTAGGAAGAATCACCTGTTTTACAGAGGATGAGAAGAACTTGGCTTCAGTTGAACAAATCAAAAGCTGAGAGGGGATCTGATTGCTTCCTACTACATGTCAGGCAGCTCCAAAAAAAGAGAGATGGTTGTTAGGAGAAAAGGCCAATTCACATCCCTTTGCTCTTGTACTACCATCTATTAATACTCTGAGGGGGATACAAGAGCACGAAGACAGCCACAAGAGAGGTGAGAGTCTTGAAGAGCGTTGAAGAGCCAGGAGAACAATTCCTACCTATGTTTAAGATACACAGTCTCTTTCACAGACTGAGAAAGATTTACTGTTTCCTGTAATGATACAAACATAAATGAAGTTATGTCGCATTTATTGAGCCACTGCTGAAAAAAATTGTTGCTCTCTGGACTAATATGAAGATTATGAATTCTATCCCAAAGAAGTCAGATCAATTCAGAGCAAAGCATTCAGATACTGGCCAGGACCAGGTAAGTATGTAACCCTATACCTACAGTGAAGTGAGCAGCAGACAAAATAAATTGGGTGTGTGATGTGAGGACAGACCTTAAATTACTACACAGTACCTTTGACTTCTTGCAGTGATTTACTCAATTTGATATTAAAAAAAGACATGTATTTACAATAAAACATGTTCAGAAAGTTCACCTGCTCCACTGATCTATTGGCTAGGTCTATCTTTCAGCGGAGTGAGGTTGGTTGATAGGGTAGGACTGATATCCCCAATAGCTTAAGCACACAAACAACTGCAAAGGAAAATATTACAAGTACAATAACGGCTGAAAGACAAGGAATAAAGCACATCTTAATGTTGGGACTTGCTTGTCCAACAGACTCCTCCTGCCACCCTTCTACCTCCCTTTTTTGTTGTTTCATTCTATAAAATAAGAAAACAGTTTTACATTGCATCATTTCCTCAAAATTAGATTATGACCTAGGCCAAATCCAAGCTACTAAAAATGTCTGTATACCGACAGGCAATCAAGAATTTCAAATATAGTAACTGGGCTGATAGCTGTGCTGGACTGTAATCCTCATTAGCAGCCATTTTACCAGTAACCACTAAAATAAAAAGAAGTAAAAATCCCAACAGTGAACAAAGTTATTTGCCATGTTCTCCTGGCCAGTGATCATGAGCGGTGTAAGCTCTGCCTAAACTGAGTTATGTGACAGTGGCAGCTGCAGAGGATGAGTGAGCGAGTTTTCAAAAGGCTGATTTAACCAGGTAGGTAGGTAAGTCAGGTATGGTTTGAGTTTAATACAGTTGTTTGGTTTTGGGCCCTATTAATATTCTGTCTTTTACTCAATTTTTCTCTGGGAAGGAACATTTATGAGCTTTTACCTTTTTTTGTTGTTGTTTTTTTTTGCTTCAAGACATGGTTGCTGAAAAGATTTAGTGCACCGTTTCCATAAGATGTCTACAGGATACCTTTGGTCAGCTCTTGCGTGCACAATAGCTGCTTGCTGCTGGGGGGGGTGGTTGTCGGGAAGGTCTCAATTATATTGTTAGCAGCTTCCAGTTATCTTCAAAGACAGGGTATTATCCCTTTCTTTAATTTTCCTCTAAAAACAATATTCTGGACATTGTTGCTAGCAAAAAACAACTAGCACCAGACCTCAAATTTTGATCAACTTGTGTACTCAGAAGGACAAAAGGATGGTATCTCACAACTTAGCAAGTTGAAAGAAATTCCTAAAAACTCTATTGCGAGTGTATGACATGCAGAGATGTATTTGAACACTTTGCCAAATGAAGGCATAGGGTTATTTTGTTGTGTTGCTTGGTTGGTTTTTTGGTTGGTTTGTTTTTACAGAAGTTTATTTGAAGGGTGACTTCCTTCTAGAAAAAAAGTTCACCTATAGTCATAGTAAATAAACCCAAAAAAGTGTCACTTACTATCTTTTAATAACTATCTTAGATATCTCTTCAGCCAGTTTCAGGCACTCAGCATGACAACAGTCCTGCCTTGCTGCGAATCTCTCCCAAAACACCAAATGAAGTTTAGCTTGGGCTTGCAGAAGTTCCCTCTTTAAGGCTTCATGTGCCACCCAAACTCCTTAAAGGAAGTGCTCAGAGC